CAACCAGCCACCCACTACCACCTTTCCAAGAAAGCAACTCCCACGCCATGGAACACCCCACAGTGAGCTTTATTGTCAGTGGTATCTCCAGCAGCCACATGTGGATGTAGCTTCGGACTTTCTTCAGACAACAGGGCCACACCAAGAAACTATCAAGCCTATCTCTTATCTCTTATGTAAGACTGTGTCTTTGCAATCTCCTCTTCAATCAGTCTAAATTACCTTTACTTTTCTGATTCTGAGGAAGGATACGTCCACTTACCCTATACTATCTGCTTCTGAACCTAAAATGCATACTTCAAATCTTAGTGTCAAAAAAAATTGTTTGGAAGTTGCAAAGTGCACTCAAAACCAGTAATTAGTTGTCAAGTAAGCAACTGTCCAGAGTTAAAAAATGTTGATGTTTGTTTGAGTTTAGGTATCATCTTCAAAACTGTATAGTAAGGAGCTGGGTGAGGTTTTATACTCCAACCTGAGCCATAGTGAATCTCAGGCTAGTCTGGATTATATGGTTTCTCTGCAGGACCTCAACTCAAAAAATCTATATTAAAAAATAAAAAGGTAAAAATTAAAGTAACCCAAAGTGCTTAGTAACTTTGTTTCTTGGCTGCTAAGAACAGTAGAGCCAATGTTCAACCAAGGGAACTGGAAGGAAAATAAACTAACATAACACTTGGGCTAAGGTTTCTTGCTACAAAAATCTGTTATTTGGCATTGGGCTGATTTGAAGTAATCTGTCTAAGGCCCCCTTTCAGATCTTCTTGCCTGCAACTAAACTCCAGAAGGAGAGAAGAATTCGCTGATCCATATCTCAGTTCAAGCATAACTCTGATGAGAAGCTTATAAAAATATCTGAAAACTTCTTTAGGGACACTTTTGTCACCTTTGATTGAGACACCTGTAGATAAACACTCAGCTTCCTCTGGAGAGCTACTGCTTGCTGCCCCTTGGGCTTTATGCAGGGGAAGCAGCATCACGTAGGTCAAGCATGTCAACCTTGTTACTGCAACCAGTTCTAGCTACTTCTAACAATTTATAAGATGTTTAGTGATCACAAAGCAGTAAATCACAATGGTTTAGAATGAGAAGTTTGATTTCAAAGGAACTATTGCATTTGGAATATGCAATAGGTCACAGCCACAGACAGGGGTTATAGAGACAGCTTCGAGCTGTGTGCACAGCATCCCACCTCCTGACACCTGATTATTACCCGCAGGACAGGGTAGAACACTGAATGTCTACCTCATCCACTTCTTGTGATAAAGCAAGAAATGGATGATGTGACACTTTGTACAGCGTTAAGAACTGTCTAAACCGACTGTTATTTTCAGAATGCAATGGGATTCTATGATCTACATTGGGAGGACTGAAATGACGGGATTTTATTCAAGCTCATAAAAGTCCAGCCTCCACTTCTGTGGAAAGTGGAGGAGCGAGCAGGGTCTGGCTAGCTGGTTGTATATTCACAATTCTGGCCAGTTTACTCACCAGACAAATGAAATAATATTTAATTTACATAAATTTAATTCTATACTATGTTTATGATAAAGACCGGGCAGAATTATTATTTACTTATATAACACTTATAGATAGATACAGGGAAAGTATATGTATATTTTAGAAAACACAGTTAGTCATTGATTAGGACAAAATAAATAAGAAAAATACAGTTACTTAGCTTTTCTTCTGATTTGAAATCAATAGAGTGACTTCTAATTCAATTATAGTACTTTAAATATGTATTTGAGTCTTATTCAAATAAAATGAGCTAAATTATTTTATACAATCTTTAAGAATAAGTCTATGATTAAAATATTACAATATTACAAATAATTATATAGTAATAACTAAATCGCAATATAAAAAAGAAGGCAAAAATATGACTGTTTTGACATTTAAAGTCAGTAATAGTATTTCAAGTAAGACGATGAGTAGCTAGAGATAAACCCCAGTTATTTGATAGCACAAAAGGTATGAAGTAGAATTGCTTTTCCTTAACTTTTAGGGGGTAATGGAGTCTCACTATGTAGCCCTGGCTGTCCTGGAACTCACTGCCTATGTGTCGGGATTAAAGCATGGGGCACTATGCCTAAGAAGCAGTCGCATTTTAAGTATGTTGAGAATTTTCTAGGAAGACGAACAAGGAAGAGAAAATTGCTCCCTGGGGTCAGCCTTTAAACCGAGCTGAAAAACATGCAGTCAGCGCTGTGCTTTGGCTATCTGCTTCCTTAGCCATCTGGAAATCTAAAGAGGCCGGCAGTGATTGCCTCTCTGCTGCCCCAAGCATCTACTATTGCACTCACATATCTGGTATGTGTGAGGCACGGTAGATGCTTTGAATTTTCTAAGAACAAACAGAAATTCTATAAGAGAATGAAAGGCACAGTTTTGGTTTATGGAAGACTATACAAAATTGAGTATTTCAGGAGTAGAAATTATTTAAGAAAAATGCCAATTTTAGATAAGTTAGTTTTAGATGTGATTATGAATTAATTTAGAGAGAAAAAAATTAAAGCAACACTAGTTTGATTCCTGTCATGGGCAGTGACTCTTACTTGTGTGAAAACTCCAGATGTTGGGGTCAAGAGAGTCACAGTTATCAGTTTTCTCCGTTCCTACTATAGCTGTGACATCAAAATGAACTGCCCATTCAAAGGAAGGGCTAGTGGGATCTACCTTCCTCTCTGCAAACACCTGAGAAGGCTGTCAACTAGACCAGACAAGGGGGTGGGGGGAGTCAGAAGCAGTGAAAGTGGTACCTACTAGGCCAACTCCACCCATCATTTATGTTTCCATGTGAGCTCTGCTTGAGTTTGTAAAGCTTTCCCTTCTGACTTAGGTTGTTTCCAGTGTGAAACTCTGTTATGCTCCCAAATGTTTCTGTTACCATAGCTCTAACTAGCATGTATCGGTGGCCATATCTTACATAAAGGGACTAAATGATAAACAATAAAACCCAAACCGACACACTGATTTTATGATGTATCGTATAACAATGGCTCAGAACCCAGTAGTTTATGAATGAAATAAAGAGACTTTATTTATTACACAGGCACTTGGATATTCACATGCCCAACACAGCTGATACACTTAACAGCTAAGGAAACACGCACAGATGTCTGCTTGGAGGCTCAGGAGAGAATGTTCTCTGTGCCACGGTGAATGAGTGCATTAACAATGAATTGTTCCTTCGCTTTCCTCTAAAGCATTTCCAAAAGTTACACGACAAGTAATAGGCAACAAAAACTGATCTACATTCCAAACTGGTAGGCTAACTCGAATTGTGAGCAGCGTAAACTTTTATCACAATGCAACATAGTTTGTAGTCATGCTTGAACAGATTAGGTTAGTAGCATGCATTCCATTGTGCAATATGAATACTGTTAAACTATTTTCCAACAAAAGTCAAAAGACGCCCTGCATAGAAAAATACAAATCACTGTAGTCAATATATCATGAGACCGATCTTGGGACTTACACAGTGATGATGAAATCCTAAAATGCCATGCCCACAAAAAGCACATTAAAAATGGGATAAACAGATTTCATTAGACAATCCCTAAAAATTAAGGAACGAGAGCCTTAACATTTGGGGGGGGGGGGCATTCTTGCTGTGTGCTTTGAACAGGGCCTTTCTGCTCACCTCCTTCTGGCTTGACTGGTCCATCGGACATCACCTTCCTGAGGGCTAGCTGGCTTTGGTCCTGGTTGCCATTGGCTGGTGGAGGCAGAGTACCAGACTGAGTTCTTTGCATGGGGAGGACGCCTGCTACGCTGTGTCTGTGCTGCTTGCTGGCATGATTGCACTGCCCACTTTTAGGTGCCGCTGTGGCAGTGCGGGGTGAAATGGAAACCCAGAGTGTATCCTCAGATGGAACCAGCTTCAATGTTACTCATGCAAACACAAGTGTGCTTTGGTTTGGTTGGAACCAAGTTTCCGAAGGCCAAAATGATACCACATGCACAGCACTTGAAGGGGATTAAAAACTGGCTGTTTCCTTGGGAATGATGACCAGAGAGATGAGGGAAACAATAAGCTGCCTCTACTCCCCGGCGGACGCTTCTCGGAGGTGGCAGCCCACCTCAGCCGTGAAACATCTGCACTGGGGTTTCTTAGAGAGCGGTATCAGAAGATGTCGCATGTAAAAACTCATCAATGAAGAGGAGTTAATGGCGAGACTCTAATGGACTCACAGTTACTAGACATGATACTTCTTGACTTTGAAAACAGTTCACTGGTTAGGAAAAAAAAATCTGTAAACGCTGCTATTCTGTACAAAGTGTGATCCAATGGAATGGACCAGATTGTGCCCCTGAATGAGATCACGTTGTCTCACCACATAAACTTATATGCATATGAAAAATACGTATTTTTGAGAATACGGATTTCTGCACGTTCTTCAGGAGACTATGAGGTTCACATATCAGCTCCTTTCCCCATGCATCCTGTTATCAAACATTGCTTCAAATGGCTTTTTACCCTGGGTTCTAGAATTTGACTATTGGTCTCCTTAAGTATCTGCTTAAATGCTGAGTGTTTCCTGGCCCAAGTATCCCACTATTGACCTTACTTAAACATGTATGTGTGTCCCCATGCTTGCTTTTGTGGGGATAATGCTGGAAAACTGGCAGTCCCTTGTGCTTGTAGTTCTTGTATTCTAAAGGAGAAGGAAGTGCACACAAACACACACACAACACGGCTTTGCCTGCAAACTTACAGACACGACTACCAAGTACTATGAGCCAGGTCGGAGAGATGGTGGGAACAAAGGAGAAACAGCCAGTTTTGTCTACGTAAATTAAAAGAAAAAGAAAAAAAAGTAAAGGGAGGGGAGAGCATATTTATGTATTGATACTGTTCTTACACAGACAAAAGGACAGAGAACAGAGTGAGCAGGGGATGCCAAAAGACAGAAAGCAAACAGGGAAGGACAGCAGGAGAGAAAGGCAACAGATGAACATTAAGCTGCCATGCTGAGGAATTTATTTGCGTCTTTTACTTGGTTGAATGCGGAGTTGTTGCACGGCGGCTTCGGCCGCGGCTATGGCAGCCCCTGCGTCTTCCAGGTGCGTTTGAGTGACACTGGTTTTGCTTTGACTGCGAGATGGTCCATGAGATCGGAGATGGCCTTCGGATGATGATTTTGAGCTACCAGGACTACTGTGGGATTTCTCAATGGTGGGAACTTGCATGTCTGGTTACAAAAGGATAAAACATGAGTTAAAGTTGCTCCCCGGGTCCCCCCTCCCCCACTGTTAAAGTCTAGTCCACACATAACTTGAAACTGTCTAAGATGGACATTAATGTTTTCTTTCATGGGTCAGTTATGCAACTCCACACCATACAGTAATGCAATTAAGATTTGGAAAGCCATTCAGGACAGGAAGCAAAGGGAATGGAGCCCAGGGAAGGGGCTCATTCATCACGAATGAGTTCTAAGAAGCCTCAGGCAATGGGCGCCTGCCTCAGTTACCCCTTCCCCGGCAACTCTGCTCTTTCTCATAGAGGTTGGTAAGACAACGGATTTCCTCAGCTGCCGGACCCACGCTGGTAAAACTATAGTGAAAACGGTGCCTGAGTAGATTAGAAGATATTGCCAACTCCTTGTCTCAGGAAACTGAGAAGGTATGGGTTCAGAGAAGTAGTCCAGGGCGAGAGGGAGAATGAGATTTTTAGGCTAATCATCTTCCAGGAGGTTGAGCATGGCAAAGTTGAAATGCCTACGTGGAATCCAAACCCAATACAAAACATAGACATAAATCAAATCTTCTACGGTTTCTGTAGTCAGTGGTTCTCAGTTACATTAACTCCATGGCCTCTGAGACGTGACCTCAGCTTCTCCTCCTCTAGAATATTTTCACACAATCTGTCCTCATCTGATGTACACAAAAGCACTCTCAGAATTAAGGAGTGCTAATTGCCTTTAATCCTTATAAATAATTAATGTATCTGGTCGCCACACGTTTATCATATATAGATTGATAAATTTATCAGTTATGAGGAGGATTAGTCTTACGCTGTAGAACTGTTGTTAAAAAATAAAGGGAAAACTCTTTCCAATAAAAATAAGGCTGGGCAGCAAGGGCATAAGCCTTTAATCCCAGCACTTGGGAGGCAGAAGCAGGAATGTCTCTGTGAGTTCGAGGCCAGCCTGGTCTACAAGAGCTAGTTCAAGGTAGCCAGGGCTGTCATACAGAGAAACCCTGTCTTAAAAAAAAATGCTGTGCATATTGTTAAATACCAAGTGTAACATCATGATTCAAATTAAAAATTAATTGGCATCCAACATCCAGGAAAGACTTGAGGAATTTGAATTGCCTTTTGTCTTGATGACATGAGAAAAATGCTCTTCATAGGATAAGTAAAAATATGATGCAAATTTTGTTTGTAGACTGTATGAGAATTCAGAGATCCAAACCTTTAAAAGAAATATAACTAGCACTAATGATGGCCACGTTTTCGTCAACATATTAGAAGAAATTTTATATTGTTTGATGAAACAACTCAGCGAATTTTCTAAGATCCCATTAGAATGGATTTTCAGAAATACAACTATCTTATGTAGCCCAATCTCATTTTTACAAAATAAGGCAATGACAATGGTGAAGCTACCACCTAAGTCTGTGCTGATATGTGTTTACAGCGCCTTTCTTCCCAAGTCCAAACATTCTTCTCATGATATCACATTAATTTTCCCACAGAACTGAAATTGACAATGTATATTACGCATAGAGCGACTCAAAGTCAAGAAGGTACTGACTGACCAAACAGGCAAACAATCACATTCTACTTGAAATGCTTCCTACCCTTGGATGGGTCAGGGAAGACACCATGGCTTCTGCTTTTGATGACAGAGGGCTTTGGAGACTGCTGGCTGCTTTGACTGGAGTGAGACTTGCCGTGGTCAATGCTCTCGGTCTGTTCCTTCAGTGGATACCACCGAGGAGTGTTGTCCAGGTGAGATGTGCTGGATAGATCGATCAACACCTGGGGAAGGTCAAGGAAGCAGGAAAGAGCACGGATTGAGCTTATAATAGGCTTAGTTTTCCCACGACCTAAAACACACTAAGGATGTAACCAGATGGATAAACCACCTTAAGTGGGGGGGACGCCACCTTCCTCACTTCACTTCGCTTATTGACTAGTTCTTCATCAGATACTGAGATGCTTAATAAATGTGTGGCTAAACTAAACTACATCATTTCTTTGACTTTTCCCTAATTTACTCGGGTAGCATGAAAAGATCAGAGTCATAAGCCAACCTTTTTATGAAAAACAAGTTGGTATGGTTGTTCTTTTATTTATTTATTAAAAAAGAAAACAAACTATCCTTTTTCATTATACACACCAATCCAAGTTTCCACTCCTTGCCCTCCCTCCATTCCCTCCTCACACCTCCCCACCCCATCCCCATCCACTCTTCAGAGAGGGTGAGGCACAGTGCTTTGGGGAAGGTCCAAGGCCCTCCCTACAATGTTCTATAAAGTAATTTTTACTTTAGGAGAAATGTATGATTTTAACGGGAAGATGGACAAGATCAAAGAATGAAAAGAACAAGTAATTTGCCATTATCAGCTTATTTTTCCAATCTAAAACGTACTTTAATGTTTTAAATACCAGTTGCTGATGGGTCATGGCTTATCTAGCACCCCTCCTTTCCTAATGGGACACACACAAATACTGTGTTTTGACAGCCACTGGCTTCTTAGATTTAATGAGTAATAAATAATATAGATATATGACCTAGGGTCATATACACAAGAGTAAATTAGAAGGACTTCAGAAAGCCAACGTTTTGAAATTTGACAGTAAACCCTATTATTTAGAATAATTCTGCATACAATCAACTTTAGTTTTAGTGGCTGAATTAGGAAAGACTCTGAAAGGAAGGCTTCCGTGGTGTGGATTGGATGGGAAAGAGGTAGCATATCTTCAACCCAAAGAAGCTCTCATTACAGAGACAGCACATGCAAGACAGTCCCTATCAAGAAGGGATTGTGTAAGCTTCAGATTTCCTGGAAATCACATCCATAGAGCATGTATGAGTGTGTACACACATATAATTTAAGTTAAAAGCACTAAATAAATTTCAAAATTTTATAACATTGTTGATGGAAACACCCAAAGGTCTGTTCACTCTTCTAGATTCCATTCTTAGATATACATATGTGGTTTTTAACAAATTTATATAATAATTATTTTAAGTATCTTCTCGTCCACTTAGTTTTAACTTTTAAAACCTTTGAAAATCATTACCATAATATTTAATCATAAACGGCAATGAGAAATATTACATGGAAGGAGAAGGGATTAAAAAAACTGATTTTGCAACAAGGACACATGCTCAACTACGTTCATAGCAGCATTGTTTGCCATATCCAGAACCTGGAAACAACCTAAATGCCCCTCAACTGAAGAATGGATAAGGAAAATGTGGTGCATTTACACAATGGAATACTACACAGCAGAAAAAAAGTGGCATCTTAAATTTTGTAGGAAAATGAATGGAGCTAGAAAACATCATTTTGAGTGAGGTGACCCAGACCCAGAAAGACAATTATCACATGTACTCACTCATAAGTTGTTTTTAAACATTTAAGCAAAGAAAACCAGCCCAAAAATCACAATCCCATAGAACTTAGGCAACAATGAGGACCCTAAGAGAGACATACATAGATCTAATCTACATGGGAAGTAGAAAAATCAAGATTTCTGGAGTAAATTGGGAGCATGGGGACCTTGTGGGAGGATTGAAGGGGGAGGGGAGAAGCAGGGAGGGGAGCAGAGAAAAACGTAGAGCTCAATAAAAATCAATAAAAGAAGATATTGCATTTAAAAATTCCAGCTTAGTTTTTATTTTTTTTTGTTTCAGAGATCATTTGTAATCACATTGTGACTTTTTATTTTCCCGCTAAAACACTATTTATTTAATCTTAACTAGATTAAAAAGTGCACCAAATGGTGAATGGAAAAATCACTTCTCAAGTTTCTATTCAAAGAGTAACTCAGAAAACTAACTTACCGGCCAAGAGATGGTGGTCAGGAACGGCTATTGTGTAAACTCAAGGTGTTTATCATCTTCCATCCTTCTTTAACTTGTTGCATAGGGTGACAGTATAAAGGAGGACAGACTTACCTCCCCAAGGAAGTCGTTGGAAGAGAATCTATCATAATCCCAAACCGTCACCTCCAATGTCTTCTTCATGAGCTGCGTTCGGATACAGCTATCATCAACCACGTTCCTCCAACATGCATTTCTATACATTTCTGAATGATTCTTGCCTGGACCTCTTTTCATTCTATGAAAATGCTTGATAATTTACGTAAGACTCTGTGTGTTAAATGTTGTGTGGAATTATAATGATTAAATTGTAGTTCAATCTAGTGTTTGATTCTAGGAGACCTCATTACTTTGTGAAAAAACTGGTCATACTTATTTCCCGTTGTTCTGTCTTTCCTCATTTAACAAGAAGCAGACGATACTCTCTAAATATATGAAAGCCATGAATCGAAAACATTTAGATTTTTCTTTATCCCAATCATTACCAAAAATGAAGCATTTTTACTTCTGCAGAATTTAACTTACTTTAAAGAACTCGGATTAATATTCACTTATAACTTCATATTCATAACCACCTTTCAGAGAGCAAACCAGAACCTCATTTTGAAAGATTGTTTACTGTAAATTATCTTATTTGGATGGCTTTCTTTCTCTTTTTGTTCTTGTTTTGTTTCTTGAGACACGGTTTCTCTGTGTCATCCTGGCTGTTCTGGAACACACTTTGAACTCACAGAGCTCTGCCTGCCTCTACCTCCTGAGTGCTGGCATTAAACAGATACTATTCCTGTTTATGGAAGTTATGGAATTCATATTCTTTTAAATTAAAAAAAAACATACACACTAACATCATTTTGCCTTGAACTACTTATTTTTGGTCTTGATGTCTTATGGAAGTCATCATTACATCTTCTTCACAAAATTTTATACTTTCCTCTTGGGAAGCTTCAATTTACAAAAATGAAACCCTACACCATAAATGGTAGAAGAAATAACACATTTCATGCATTTCATCTTAGTTTTTCTTGGTGTTCCTTCTGAAAACCAAACATCAGCAGTTGAAAATATTTCCTAAAATGTGCAAATTTGATCGAATCTATTGAAAATATTTCATTTTAAAATATTCTAAGAGCCTTGCCTCCCTAATCATTTGTTCATGTTTGGGCTACTTTGTTAAATACGAGCCTTTGTTTTCACCTTACTTTGAGCTTCTCTCATTGATTATCACTGAATATATTTCTCCTGTCTTTAATGAGCTCTCACTGTGTTTGGAAAACCTGACTTTCCATAGCGTTGCCGTCACTACACTTACATCAGCCTACATCTGCCATTTATCAAATAATAATTACATACCTGCTCCATGGAAATGCTTTTATAAATTACTGTTTGATTCCATTCAGGATTAAGACTTTTCTGGACATATTTAGTCCTCCTCTTGTACTCAGCACTGAATTGGAAGAGAAAAAGAAGAGGCGTTTTTTTTTTTTTTTAAATTTACATTTTACCTTATCTGATGACCTCTGTTCAAACTGAAGGGCATATAACATTTGCCAGATCTTTGGCCTCACCTCGCTGTCTAATCATTGCATCTTGAAACTCAATTTTAAGTTGAACGTACAATGACATTTTGGAAATATATTGGGTGTCTTGATTTTGTTTGCACTACTGAGTATGCATATGCTTTTAAAGAAATTCCTGTAGGACTTTGGACTATACTCTAGAAATGTTACTTTTTCCTATATGTGGAAGATACTTAAGTATATAATAACATTAATATCTTTTTGGTTCATAAATAATAGTATAGTCTTTAACTTTCTGAGAGTTTGACCTCTAATCCTGTCAGCAAAGCTCAATTGTCTCTCCCACCCTCCCGCCTAAAAGGCAGTGAACGAGGAGACGGGCATGATGGTGCAAGAGTGTAGGTCCAGATTTGCAGGCACAAACCAGAGCTCAGCTTGCTCGGCTGCCTAGCTACTTTGGACCCAGTTTGGGCTACGTTAGACCCTGTTTTCTCTTGTCTTTAAAAAAGAAAGAAAAGATAAAGCAATCATTACATTTACAGGGAAAAAGAAAGGCAAATGGCTCTTACGACAGATGAAATTGCAAGAGCTTTCCCAAAGGGACATTTGAAACTCCCTCTAAAGTATGACATTTACCATGGTTATGAACCAGGTTGAAATGCCTCATGCCACTAAGTTACGTTAAAATGGAAACTAAGTTAAATCTTTCATTCATTGCAAATTGGGCATTTCACTGAATCCCCAATTCTCCCATTGTCTCTAAGCAATTATTAGCTGCTTGTGTCGTATACATACACTTAACAACTTCCACAGACAACCTATCCAAATTAAGCATCATAGCAGATCCACAGCTGGCATGGACTAGTGACCGGAGTTGGAACTAGGCAGCAGCTGTCCGTGTTTAACATTGTTGATCCCACAGGCAAGGCCTTTCCTTACCTTCACCTTTTCCTGGCTTTCCCATCTTAGTTTGTATGTCAGTGATGAAGTAATGTTCTATTTCTGTAGGAGTCCCCTGTTTACTAGGAAGTCCTGGTTTACCTAGATTTACTAGCTGCCTTTCCTTAAAGCCAGTCAAGACTCCATACCACTGACACGCAAGGAAAATAAAATGTAATTATTCTAGGATAAAGCTTAACATTGTGATTTCTGTAATGTAATATATAGTGAAATTTGAGCTATGGGTTTTGTGCCTCACCAAACCTCCTATGTCACCCGTGAGAAACTGATTCTAGGGCCTCCCATTTCTAACCATCCCATTTGAGTGTACAAAAATAAGAACAAGATTTAATGTTAGTCACTCAAGATAAATTACAGACACTTTGGAAGAAATTTTTACACAATGATTTTAACTAACAGAATTCTCGTGCAATTATGTTGGTATATTTATTTCGTCTAACATTTTGTCCCTACCTCATGAAACTTATTATACATACACACCCAGGATATTTCAACTCTACTAATTTTGCTTCTACCCCAGAGAATTTCTCCCACTTGCACAAAAGAAATTTATTCAAAAACATTAACCACAGAATTATCTCTACCAAAGTTAATAAATGAATAAGTATGCGCTCATATATTCAATCAATGAAATATTAACAGGATGAATTAAATCAAATTCTTAAAAATGATTTTGTTTTCTAAAGTTTTTGCAGAAAGATAAATATGTCACTGTTAAGTTATTATGTGAATTTAAAATTGTTAAATAATTTTCTAAATTACCGGATACAGTTGTATATAAGACATCTATATTAATATCACAGTAACACTTAGGATTTACAAATGCTAAATTCAATTTAGTGGCTATTCTAGGTGGACAAGAGCGTGATTTCTGAAGGCTCCAAAGGAATGCATCTTCTACCATGACAACATCTGAAGCAAGTATAGCAAAATGTTGACAAACTGAGAAAGCAAGCATTGGAGTATTAGTTAATACTGCTAACAGTGTTCAGAAAACTTGAAAGGTTCCAAGTTCAAAACTGTAAAGTTCTTAGCAAAGTATGTCCTTTTATATTGTGCTTGCTGTTGATTTTTGATGATGTCGTGGGAACAACTGACCTGAGACTTTCAGGCTAACAGCTGACCTGTGTAGCACTGGGGATTCATAACTGTCCCTCTAGGTGGGGGTACTTAAACAAGGCACAGACTAACATAGCTTTAAATTTATGTGTGGCTCAGACATAATTTTCAAGATGGAATCATAGGAACACCACAGTAAAGATAAAATCCAAAATTTGATGATCATTAGTAAATTTTTTTTTCATTTTAAAAGAGTGAATTTTCATAATTTTTAACACAAGTGTGAAGCCAATTGTAAACATTTCTTTATTAAAATACAGCTATGTCTTAAGCTGAAATCATCCATAGTACTGTCATGTTCCAAAAGATTTATTAATTGAATGAACTGAATAAATAATAAAAATTTTGCATCCACATTTAGTAATGCTTGTCACTTTTACAAATATAAAAATCACTGAATACCAGTACAAATGCAACTGGCCTTACCTTATGATTCTGTATTTTATTTCTACTTGAAGTATTTTATGAAGTAGCCACATTGAAATAATAACTACATTAAGTTCTGGCTGCTTCCTGGTAAGAGCTCTAACTACTTTTTTTGGTGTTTACCCACTTAATCTTCAAAGCTTCCTTACAAAACAGGTTCTATTTATTATCTTATTGACTGAAACTTGAACTCTAAGTCTTGGGGGAATTAAGAAGTGCTTAGTAAGACTACAAGGGTATTAGGTGGTAGGGTTAGGATTTAAGTTAAAAAAATCCTTATTCTTAACTCTTAAATATGTTACATGAAATTAACTTAATAAAGCTATTTAAAAGCATCACTCGCTCATTTTTTTTAAAACAGGCTTTATTTGCTAAAGTGTATACTTAGTCTCTATAATATAAAGTTCCTCCACCTCAATTTACATATAACACAAATTATATATATATATATATACACACTCACTCACAACAAAAGAGATTAGAATGCTTTTAGAGATGCCTAGAGATATTCTGAATCTCATGCAATTACTGTGTGACAATTAGGGACAAATGATTACAGGCATGTATCTTTTAACAGAGTCAGATGTAATCTAAAATGGAATAGATTAAATATATCAATCGAGTATCTTCATCCTATTGAATTTGATCCTCCAATTCTGTCCAGACTTAATCCCCTTTCCACAGTTTTCTTCTTCTTCTTTTTTTTTTTTTTAAAGAAAACCATTTTTTATTATCAATGGCTAGTTCTTCTACAGAGCATCTACATAGCATGTCTTTCATGTATTAATAAATTAAAAAATAACAGCAAGCTTAAGCACAAAAGTAGACAGGAGAAACACAAGAAAGTCTATGTATGAGACTTTATGCCACCTGAAACTTTTACATATTTGAAAAGTAGAGCTCATGAACTAGAAAATATTGTCCTTCTAAAGTCCTGCCAAGTTTAACGGAAGTGAGTTTCACCTTATTTACAAACACCACACCGGTTTCACTTATCTGATATTTACAAAACAAAATCACAATTTTCCAATAGATTAAAATCAGCTCAACACCCATGCAAGTTAGAATGCTAGCTGTTTGGTGAGCAAAGACCTTACATCAGTATAAGTCTATAAAGTCCCAAACTGGTCCTTTTCAAACTGTATCCATTTTGTGCATCAACAATGTGAAGCTCAACCCCATTCCTCTTGGCACATGTATTTGTGATCTTATCATTTCATACTGAGCATTGAGATTTTGAAGAGCTTCTTTTGGCTTTCACGTCTTGCCGCTTTCTTCCTAAACTGAGCTCTAGCCAGCCAGCTTCCTCCTCACACTTAATGCCCATGGCTTCCTACATTCCAGAATTCCGTTTTCTCACTCTGGCAGTGGTAGACTGGTTGCCTTCTTTCTTGCCAGAGCTTTTGGCTTCCTTCCTCTTGCTCAGCAAACGGCTGCTGGTTACATAGGCTCGGCACAGCTATATCTGTGCCTGGGTGTTGGCTTGCAAGGCCTGTTCTGAGCTTTAACAGCGATCTGAGGAGTCATTTATGTTCCCAACTACAACAGCGCAGAAAGACCAAGGACAGAAGCCCCAGATTCTTGAACTGCAGCTCTTAAAGCCATTTCTTGTTATTTTTGTTTGCAATCGTATGCTTTTGTCGTTGTTCGCATAATTTCTTTCCCCTTTACAATCTCTGAAACTGTCCTAGGTGTACCTTGCTGTCTTTCTGCCTCTGAAGGGAGGTGGACGAGGTGTCCATTTAGACGTCAGCTCCTCGTCTTGGTTTTCCAGTTCTCTTCTGTCTCAGCTTCAGTTCCTTGTTCTAGTGTTGAGCTTGTGTCTGGATCTTAATTGAATGTGTTCTGATTTCCCATCCCTGCGTCTCCTTGTCTCTGATTCTGCAGTGAGACTTTTTCCTTTCTCATTTCAGTGGACACTTTAAAGAGACCTAGATGTTGAGTGGCTTCTGCCTCATGATGACTTACCTTCCGTGTGTTGCTTTTTTTCAGATGAATTTGGTTGCTCCCTTATTTATCAGAAGAATGCTCGTTACCCTGTGCCCCTCAGACTTGTGTCTTAGAAGAATCATCTTTGGATCGTGTCTTCTTGTCTTTATCATGAAATAGGATTACTATTTAGCTATCTGAGCCTGTAGCACCTTGAGTTCAGCCTCTTTGCCCCTCAGCTCGATCTTTGCTTCTTCTCCAACTGTGTGTTTATATTCACCGTTATTTGACTTTCAGTGTCTTTCTGATGACCTTGGTCATTATCTTGAATAATGATGTTTTGAGGCTCCAGGAGAAAGGTGCTCCTTTTCTTTCTATGTCTGGGGCTATCCATATTGTTCTGGATACCTAATTAACCTTCTTTAGTGGAAATACCCTCTTGATACAGAGGTGTAGCAAAACATATCTTGCCTGTCAGTATTTATGCCCTGAGCTACAGAGCATTGGGATTACAGATGCATCAAACCCAGTCTTCATTTGAATTTTGGTAAGAGGCATGTGATAGTTTGGAGTCTTGCCTGCTAAGGTAGTACCTCTGCTTGCCACACCCAAAAATATAAGCCAAGAGCTTTGCTACAGACTACTTTATACAACTCTTAAAAATAATCCTATTCTTGTGAATTCAAATATGTATATAGTATGTTTTGATCAAATCAGATTAGCTCCTCTCCGATTCCTCCTTTACCCACTTTCCCAAAATCTATGTGCTTCAAACAAAACAAAATAAAACAAAAAAACCTCACAGAGTTCGCTTAGTGTGGTTTCTATGTGTACGGATGTAGGGCTGTCTGCTGAAGCATGGGAAGCCTCTCAAGGGCTTCTCCCTCCCTCAGAAGCTGTCTTCCCTTGCTCAGAAGCCGCCACTGCAATAATCTCCCAGTTTGGGGTGAGAACTCAGGAACACCAGTGACCCACACTGGGCATATGGCTGGTATAATCCTGTGCAGGTCTTGTGACCTTTCCACAGCATTGATGGCTTCATTTTAGAAGCCAAAGCAGACTTCTACAAGATCTTTTCTTTCCTAGTTTTTCTTCTTTCCTCTCTCCTTCCTTCAAATAATCAATCAGTCTATGGGCAGTATGCCATAATATACCAGGCTGGTCTTAAACCTGGGATCCTCTTCAAAAATTTAATTATTATTTTTTTTTTGCATTTCTGAAGTGCATAGCTGGCCTCATAAAGCCATTCTTCTCAAACACTCTTTAGTGCCATCACCCTCTGGTCATCTTGTGCATGATACTATAATTCTGTGTCGAAGCTTTGTATAACCGATAAACTACCATAATTGTAAAAGCTATGCCAAAATCTCTGCATTTGTGAGCCAAACATAGGCAACCGAACTGGGAATCTTGAGCGTGACCATATATTCAGTCTGAAGGGGAGAAAAGGGCTATTCTCCTTTGCCTTTCTTGTACCGGAGGGCAGAGTACCACAGAGTACAATCAGAGAAAAATGTTATTAATGAGAAAAACTGGACTTTTCCAGCAGGATGCTGGGAGAAAATTGGGAGATATTTCATACTTCAGTTATGCACACTTTCACTTCATAGCTATTCCAGTAAATGTATTGGGGCCATAGGCCATGCGCTCTCTTTCCTTGGTATTTTCTCCTCTCATTCCCCCCGACCTCAATTCTTTCATAGTATACGGATATATTTAGAAAAAAAATTATAGAAAACTAAATGAAAAGAAATGCTAAAACTGGACCAGTGTGGGTTTTTTAGGGTAACAGAACTTTTGTGGTTTTAACTATTGTTAATTGATTATTTTTATGTGCATCAGTGTTTGGTCTGTGTGCCACCTGTGTGCCTAATGTCCACAAGGCTAGAAGAGGCTGTTGTGTTCTCTGCGACTGGACTTAGAGACAGCTGTGAGGGTGCTGGGAATTGAACCCTGGTCCTTTGGAAGAGCAGCCGGTGCTTTTACCTGCTGAGTAAGCTCTCTACCCCTCATTATATTATTTTTATTACATTGCATTTTTTACTGAAGAAAGGTTGTTTGCCTTTGTTGCTCTTACTATAAAACTCATTTGCATGACCGAGTAGCTATTAATACTCTCTCTTGCTCTCTTATTTAACTGTCCTTGGCTACTAGAAATTTATTACACATAGTATCAGAAGTAATAACAGCAACTGCCACTTACTGAAGATTATTATGTGTCATACACGATACTCCCCAATTTGGTTTATCACTAAGCATTTCACACACACACACACACACACACACACACACACACACTACACACACACCCATGATGGAAGTTATTATTTCTAGTTACAGAAGAAAGCACAATTTTGACTTCTCATGTGACATCTCATGGCTTCTAAGTGACAATGCTGAAAATCAGACCCAGGTTTTTAAGGTCTCCATTCAATGGCTTCCATGCCTGGGCATTTTCCTCTCGCACTGAGAGTTCCCAAAGGCATGGTGAGAATGAAACACGGATGAGAGCTCGGCTTCTTAACTTCCAAATGATAGTCAAAGTATTCCAGGCTCATCCAATCGCTACAAAGGGCTCCCCCCAACACGCTCTCCTATACAGTAAAGGCAGGAAATCACCACCCTGACAATGTTCCTGAGTTTCCTTCGATTGAATTCCGGGAGTTTGTGAATGTGGGGGCTGCTTTGTGAGATCTAAACTGACACCCTATCTTTGAAACAGAACTGATTCTACGTATCAGCCAAGGAACCTCAGATTGTACCCACAATCAGAGAACTAGCCACCACAGAGAGCCATCACAGTGTCTCTGCGCACTGGTTGCTAATGATGTGACTAAGGAATGAAATTTCTGGGTACTGCTAAGGCTACGATAATAGATCCTAGCACTGAAGATAAATATTTACATCTTTAAGACTCAGAAACAACCTCTCTTGGGTCACAGCTTTCCACGATTAATAAAAATGTTACATTTTAATAGCATAGACAAGCAAATGCTGCAAAATTAATAATATGACTAAGGCTAAAATCCTCATCATCCTATTAGTACAGATGGTACATGAGTCTCTTTAATTAAACCACACACTTAATTTATAATGCAGTGGGCGACGTGCAAAAAAAAATATCCTTTGGGTTATGTCTTGAGAGGGAGTCTTGGTTGGTAAGAGGCAGCCTGTAACAAATCAGAGAAAATACCTACGACTAAAACCAAAAAAGTGTTCATGTGGTTCCTCATCATTATAGTATGGTGATTTTTTTTGACTTCTAATGATTTTGTGATACAGAAAACATAAATCATGGAAACATTTCAATTTCAAGTGAGGGAAAAACAAATCTGATACTTACTATATTTAAAATGAGATACACACATTGGTCTAGTCCATAAATTCACTTCAAAAATCACTTGCAATATCTTCATTTGCAATAGGAGATCAGGAGAACTTAAGTAGTGATTATCACATAAGCAGCTAAATGAAATTCATTACAGAGAATACAAGTGGAAATTGCAGTTATATTCAATTTTAGTGTAAAATTTCCTTATCCTTTGATTCTGTTTTCACTAAAGTCTAATTTTCTATGTCCTGTTGCACACTGGTCAGAAGGCCTGCTTGTTGTAGGCCTAATTCAACAGCCGTTCACTGGGAGAAAACGAACAGCTACGGTGTAAGTAGACATATGTAGACATATGGGCAGAGGTATTTAAACACACATGGTTACAACTCTAGGCACAACAGAATAGTTGACAGTGAAGGAGAATCAACTCTACCTTGCGTTCTGGACAACCATGACTTGACTGCATTGATTCCAGGAGCCAGAGGAAAGGGTACAAACAGGAAAGAGTGAAAGACAGGGAGAAAAAAGTTAGGAGCAGAAAGACAGGAAATATGAGGACAGCAATCACACGCAATGCGCAGCCTGAAACCGGCTTGAGGAGGGAGATAATGTTAGCGCCACAGTGATACAGCGCTCACATGTACAGTGAATCCCCATCACTCGGCAACTCAGTAATTAGTGATACCGCTATGACAGGCTAGGAGCACGTTAGCCACCTCGGAGCTGAATCCGCTGTAGGATGGCTAGTTGGATAAACTCTGAGAGGGTAAATACTATTAGATGCATATTTTTTTGTCCAGTTTATTCTTCTTTTTTATCCTTCCAGCTAAGTATTATGGAACTGGCTGAAACCTTCATGTTACTTGTCTACCTGTTCTGCTTATTCAACTTTGCAACCTTCTACCAGAGTAACAGCGTGCGTACATATAAGTATTCTTGTGCAGTATAGACAATGACACCGAGGGCCACTGATAAGGAAGATGGAAAATAAATGGCAGTACTTTTTACCTTAATCCATGTAAAAATACTTAGAGATAAATTCCTGAGAGTAATTTTCTATAACTTCCTAATTTCTTTAAAGAACACAAACGTTCTCATGGCCAAAATCAAAACAAAGTTTTTATTGTTTGTTTGTTATTTTTTGTCACACCCCTCTTAAAAGATGTGGCCAATTTGTGAATACAAATATGCAAACTTGCTATTTAATTAAAATAAAAGATTCGAGAAATTTTATTGATTTCTAATAAAAATTACCGAGAATTTCAAAAATCCTTAAGAAAATAAAATTAGATCAAGCACACCAACAATCTTATCTTTCTAAAAGGATTTGTTTGGGGGAAGGGTATGGTATTAGAGCAGGGACACTAATTTATCCTCTCTGCACTATCTGGCTTGTTCCCATTGGCAAATAAAAATTATGATTGTGCTCTCATTGAAATGGAAAGAGACTATCTCATACATGGGCGTCTGCCTGTGGTGACTTAGTAAGTAGATAGCAGGACATACATGACTCTAACGTGGCTGGCTACTTTTCAGACACACCCGTCACGGTCAGAACACACATTTGCATGTTTTGGCTGCTTTTAAGTCTGTTGAGGCTTTGCAGCACTATGCGGTTCTGCAAAACGTTCACTATGTACTTAAAAGCATTCGTTGCTGATGGGTAGTGTATTCTATAAACACCAGTGGGGTCCTCAAGCCAACTAAAATATTATAAAATATATAGAAGAAACTAACAATATATTAGTGAATTTTAAATGAATTATCATTTTAAGATATATACCAAAATATTTGCAAAGAGTTAATTGCTGGGATTTCTTTGAAAGTGATCTGGATGTAGGAAGCATGTAAGAGTCAATGTGGAATCTAACGGGCTAGTAAGTAAAAGTGTTTGAAGGTAAAGGATGGTCAGCCCCTAAATGACTCTCTCTGCTTCTGTGTTATCCTTAAAAATCCCCAAGCAAGAATTAATACTCAAAAATGAAATCAGTGTTGCTGTCAGCTGAGGAAGTTTTCAGCACACCTCCACTTCTGACTGCTGATTCCACCACATTAACTTGGCTAGCATAAATAGCTTACATAAGGTACGGTGATCTGGGGAGGTCAAATCTCTGTCCTACACTTTTCTCAATAACACGTTCATATACCAGGCATTACTACTAGCATCAATTATGTGATTAATTATCATGCATCTCCCAAGAACACATATCTTTTACTTAGCATTTTCATTTGGTGCTGGGGGCTGAAGTATTCTGGTTTGTTAGATATAGACTCTGTCATGGAATTCGACCCCAAGTCCAGATCACTTAATTTATATCCACAACGTACACATCCCACAAAAGATTCAATGAGATGTCTTTTATTTATATAGCAAAATCATTACTTCAAATGTTGTTATTTGTTACTATTTTTAAAACATTGATTTGGAAATGTGTCTATAAATAGGGATTCATAAAAAGTCACTTAGTGGACATCAATCATGCATATCAGATAAAAATACACACACTGTAAAAAGAAAGTAAATGAAGTTTGATTTCTCATGTGGATTTAGGGATGTAAGTTAGTTCTTTAAACCTGCCACAATTTCTCAAATGCTTTTAGAATAAATCTGAGCACACAGCACAAGCGCAGTTCCCATAATCAAAGCGCTGCTCGCTCCCCGAGAGACTGGCGTTATTATGACCAAGGCTCTCTCAGAACCCATGAGAATGTCGTTTAAAATTTTAATTCAACTGGATCTCCTTATTAGAAATAAATACGATGGCCAAAGCAAACTAAAGCCAGGGTAGGAAGGACTATCCAGGTTAGGCCTGGAAACGAACGGGAGATGCTCTGTGGACTGTTTAATGCCTGGATGACGATGTCTTATTACTTACCCTCGCCCCGGAAGTAGGTACACCTTAACAAAAGGGTCAGAGTAGCCGTTGTTGTCTCTAGGGACAAGATTTCTTGCTTGAAGAATATGTATTATAAGGTTTCCAAGGTCATAGTTGATTTGAAGCTTTAGGGTGTAGAAAGGATTCGGTGAAAAAAACCAACAAACAAACACGTGAAACAGTATCACTTCATACTTCTCTGGCTCTTCCAACACTTTATAAGAAGTTACCCACTTCATCTCAATTCTACTGGAAACTAAACAGTTAATGTCCAGTTTAACTGAACGCTCATAGGCATGTCTGGATTTCTGATAAACATATTGCTACTGGACTCTGCACAAGTTAGAATCCTGGCCTAGTTAGAGTTCATTTAACAGGAAACTAACACAGTAAATATTTATTATATTTTCATAATGAAAATTTATTCATAGCAAACGAATACACCCCACAATTACTAGGACTTTGAAAATTAAATAACTTGTAAATGTATTATAGAATAGCATTAATATTTCATAACTGAACAGTGAGAAGAAAGGCTATGTGGAGAGGATTCTATCAGGATTGAGACATACAAATTTAAAAAAAGAATAGATTTCATTTTTTTCTTCATTTCTCCAAGTTTAAAACTGTTGTTTCTCTTTCTGAACCACTTCTTATAAAGCAAGAGTCTGGGGTGATATTGACTTTACCCTTGGGCTTGAAAAGTTGAAGAGGAATAATGAATCCTAGCTCTAAGATGCTTATGAGATGCTCACATTGCTACCAAAGAACAAGATTTACTGTTCAGATAGATATTTGAGAAACTGTCATAATCTGAAATGATTAAGATTAATAATTTTTTCTTTGACCATTGTAGGATGCCTTTGTTATATTTAGATTAAGTCTTGATTTCTTTTTAAGTTTTCCAAGAACTTTGAAATGAAAAGTACTTTATTTCAAAGAGGGAACTTACATGTAAAAATACTAACTTTTTAAAAATCATAAAAAAACAGTGTTTTCACTGTGATGGGGTTACTAAAATGGGCCAAAGCTTTGCTTAAAATTTCAGAATTAATATACATCATCATTTTGGCACAATTTTAATCTGATTCCACAGAGAAAAGCCCAGGTATCTCCGACAACAATGACCAATGTGTGAATAACAAGGCAATCTGCCCTAAGGGAAAAGCAAAGACAGGGATTGGAACTGTGTGCTGACAGGACACAGAAGCAGAAAGGGAGACACATTTAGCTTGCTCTGGAGTTCAAGTTTCAAGTGACATTGCTCTTAATCTATTTCTCCCTGACATGGAAATCTTCAGGCCACCTTGAGAGAGTGGGTATCAAAACGTTCCCTCTTCATCCCCCAAAACCCCCAAGGAGGTCTGGGGTCAGACCAGTCTGCACATGCGCCATCCTCACACACACGGACTCCAGGACCGCACCTTTATGATTATGGCTCTATGTGCGCCATGGGAATAAGGCTTTGCCACACGAGGGGAAATGACTGAAATACCAGCCTTCAGGATATTCTAACTCATTGGTTCTCAATCACTCAATTTCCCTTTCGGCAAATCTCTATCTTCAAATATATATATATATAAAATGATTCATAACAGTAGCAAATGTACAGTTATGAAGTAGCAACAAAAATAATTTTACGGTTGGGGTCACCACAACATGAGGAACTGTATGAAAGTGTGACATTATTAGGAAGGTTGAGAACCACTGTAAACTGCTAAGAGGCATTGTGCCAGGTAAGGCTCAATTCCAGAACTATGTCTTACTGCTGAAGGACTGGACGAAAGAGAAGAACGAGGGAACATCAAACCCAACAGAAACAGCAAACATCAGTCAAAAGGCAGGAAGTTAAAAAACGTAAGTGAAAACTAGTAATCAAAAGTTGAAACATTTCCTATGTTGCTTGTGGGATGGCAGAAGGCAGGTTTGGTGAAAACATTGGCAGCCAGCATAGGGAGAACAAGATCAGGAATTCACAAGCCATGCCCAGTTCCACCGGCTCTGTCCGTGAGGCACCCTGGGACAAAGACCCTCTGCGTTTTCACTGCTTCCCTTTAGCTTTTTCCTGTGTGTGTGCTCACTTCCCAGTCTTGGTACCCTTGCCCTTGCGATACTTTCTGTAGGCTGCTGATACATGGCTTTTTATTATACTTCCCCCATCACTCTGCCGCATACTCTAAGCCATGGAATGCTGGCCTATGTTAGGTGAGGGATAATTCACCTCTGCTTGCATCCCAGGTTCTTTCTGGATGTGTCAGCGTCTCAGAGCTGATTCCATCATAGCTCGACTCTCAATGCAACCGCTTTCTGTGTGATGCTGTTTCCAGTAACACATTTTCCCCTTCTCTATGCTTCTTGAAACCTTAGCTCATATCTCTGCTACTCTGTGAAGTCCTTTGTCAGAATTTCCTTCACACTGCGTTGGAGACACACTTGCTCTTCCTTACTGGGACCTTCCTCTGATAGCTAGTCAGTACTGTGTTAATTTCTATGTGACATTTCTCATCTACCTAGAATTAATTTTTTTTTCGAGACAGGGTTTCTCTGTGGCTTTGGAACCTGTCCTGGAACTAGCTCTTGTAGACCAGGCTGGTCTCGAACTCACAGAGATCCGCCTGCCTCTGCCTCCCGAGTGCTGGGATTAAAGGCGTGAGCCACCACCACCCGGCTAAAACCGAGTTTTAAAAACATTTTACTGCGACTCACAGTAATATATAAGCAGTGATAATATAATACAAACATAGAACTATATGCAGTAGTAAAGTAACAATATTTTGTACTTTTTATGGTACTTACCTTATGAATTGCAAAGTTATCAGGAACTACAAAACGAAAACGCTTCCCTATGATAGTTGTTTATCAATTAGTTAGAAAACAATAATTTAGCAAAAGTTATTACTTGATTCATGAAGTTTGAAGACGGGCTTACAGGTTTTTTTGGAAGGAGAAGTTGTTTGTGAAATGCTGGAACTCAGTAGCTGCGGACTGAGAATTTTACAGCCTGGAATTTCAAAACCACGGCTAGTTTCTACACACACACACACACACACACACACACACGTTATGCGGTAGCATTATATATGTATAACATATTCAATAAAAAGTGTAAGACCTAAACAGACTGTTAGAAATTCAAAGAGACAAAGTAAAAACAGAAAAGATAACAGAATGATGATATTAAAAGTTTTTCATACCTGAATTTCTCCTGTAATTGGATGAGAGGCAACCTTTGTTGCATCAGTAGGCTGAAATATAAAGACCATATATTACATTAATAAATATTCTTAGGTGTCTTCATTTTAACTGTTTTTTTTAATTAACTTCAATTGGTTGTAGCACACTGACTACAACATACATTTTATCCATTTGGTTGCTTCAGAATTATAGCATCTACTTAAAATTCTCATACTTGTTTAAGGATGCATAAACCTGATGTTCATTTTGAAAAACCTGTATCGAAGCCATGGTTTTATATCAGCAGTATTTTCAGTTCCTTACAAAAATGAATACTTTTTGTTTAAAACATTTTGCTTACGTATGTATTTCGAGGTTTTAAAGAGCTATTTAGTAACGAAGCCGTGTTTACATAAGACTGCCCAGGAGCACGGAAGCTGCAGAGAAAGCCATCCGTGTGCCTCTTCTAGCTCACTGAGCAGTGAAGCACCCCAAAAGACACTTTCCGACAGACAGGAAATTTAATCTTGAATTAAAATTTATCTTTTCGGAAAAGTTTTCATTTCCCTCCAAACTCCTCAGGCAAACGGAGCTTTCAAAGTAGTTCGGAAAGTAATCTAGGGGTCAGATGTGGCGGCATACATTTTTAATCTCAGTGCTCAGGAGGTATAGGTTCGTGGACCACTGTGAATTCAAGGCCATACTGAGCTAGCTAAAGCAAAATAATAAATTAAAACAGTTGATTTTTTATTGCTAAATCAAGGATACTGAAATTCTGTTGCACTTCATATATGTATCATGTAAAATTACTAGCTAATATTCTAGTAAAGTATATCCTTTCCAGAATAGCTATTGAATAGTTTTTTTTGCTTGATATTGAATAGTTTTAAAATATATAATTATGTGTATCATTATATATGTTTAAAACTTATTAAAATAATTTCAATTCATATTTTATATATATTATTCAAAAGCAATCATCCAAAATTTTGATAATGTTTCAGCGATTGGTTACACACAATCACTTAAATATGGAGGAATGCTCAACAGTGGCCTGGGGAAGGGCTTTTGTCTGTGAAGTTAACAGACAGTAAAGCTACAATTGACAAATGGAATTATGGTGAACTTACAAGCTTCTCCCTAGCTAAGGAAACACACAGTATGTACAGACACATGCCTCAGAACAGAGACCATCTATAAAATAAGTCTGACAATTAATTTCCTCAATATGCAAGGAACTTCAAAAACTCAATATTACAAACCAAATAACTATAAAAAAAGATGAATAGGTAGTAAGTAGGTCCATTCTTTAAGGTAAACTTTTACATTTTCACTTAAAAACACACACCGCACATACTCCATACACACATACCACACACACAACACACATACCACGCACACACACACTGCACACACACACACTGCACACACACACACTGCACACACACACACTGCACACACACCACACACCACACACACACACTGCACACACACACACTGCACACACACACACACTGCACACACACACACACACACACACTGCACATATGTCCAAAATTATCAGATTTGATTTGTGTCACTGCCAACAGGTAAATAATCTCTGCACAAGGACTAGCCAATTGAGTATATGTATGAGTCACAAAAGTAGTTAAAAATTTCTAATAACTGCACTAAACCAAACAAGAAATATTATAAAAATATTTATATTCATCCTAAATATTGTCACTTTACCACGTTAGCAAAATAAACATTGTGTTGAGATATTTCAGTCTTTTTTTTTTCCCACACAAAGTCACTGGAATTTGGCCCGCAATTCACACAGATGTCAGCTGAAACCAGTTGCATGTGGTTAGTAGTTACTCCTTGGACAAAGGGACACTGGAACCATATATTTCAGTCAAATATAAACCTACACAGACCCAATTATTGGCAAAGGGAAGAATGGCCACACGAAACACCAGCTGCCAATACCACTGTCCAAATGCTGTCCTGCTTGAAGAGTTTCCATTTTCTAAATCACGGTCGCCAAAGCTAAGGTGTAACAGTAAGGTAAATTTGTAACTGCGTACCCCGAAGGAGAACAGAGGTTCACAGGTGATCACTGACATTTTGAATCATAAATATCTTTGCTACTGTTCTGTGCAAGTCACTCAACTATAATATGTTGTCAGGGGAACAAAAATAGTTAAGTTTTATGGTGCGTTTAGCCAGCATAGGAGAGTAAACCAAGAACCTGACAACTGCAGTCAATTTGTAAATTGTCTTCAGAGACACAAAGAGCACCTTTAGAAGGAAGAAAGGAGGATAGCAGGCAGGCTGGGAGGTTAGGAGGCAGGGAGGAAGAGACTGGGGAAGGAAGGAGAGAAGAAGGAAGCAAGAAAGGGCAACAGGAGGAAAAAGAATGAGGAAAGAGAGATTTTTAATATCAGAGAAAGTCCAAGCCGTGATGACTTCACAGAGGAAATGTGTTACTCAGTATTGTTTCCTCTTGCCCACCATCAGCTCCTCATTGCCTACAGACTGTAGTGGAAAGCCCAGCCCAGCCCTTCATGCCTTTCAACTTGCAACCATCTGCTTCTATACGCTGTCATCCCTGAAGTACCTATGAACACCCATCCTCTAGACATGGGAGCTTCTGTCCAACACTCTTCACTCTGAGCTCTCTTTGGGGTGTTGCCCCCTTTCTTCCTTTTACCTAAACTGGTTCTTAAGCATCACCGAGATGTCCTCCCTACTCATGCTCACTGAAACTGGCTGAACATTTCGTTATTTGCAATCGCATCAGCAGTTCTCAGATTTTAAGAGCACTGCACACAGCTGGAGAAATTACAAGACCTAGGCTCCCGAGATCCAGGCGCGTTTTTTGAAATAGTCAAGGCTGTGCAAAAAAAAAAAAAAAAAAAAAAAAAAAAAAAAAAAAAAAAAAAAAAAAANAAAAAAAAAAAAAAAAAAAAAAAAAAAAAAAAAAAAAAAAAAAAAAAGAAGCAGTTCTAACACATTCTCTCATTCTAAGACATATGGTGCTGTGCCAAATCTGCTGAAAACGGGTACAGTTTAGGACCATGTGTCTACTTGGAATGAGAGAGAGGGGGTTTTTCCATCCTTCTTTGCAGTCTGGTAGAGCGTGACTCCTGAAACTGAACAGTCATGGGCAAATGACCGGAGCAAAAGGCAGAGCTGAAACCTTAGTCAAGGCAGTTCTGATCACAAGTATATCAGAGCAGATATAATAACACTATGCCTATTATAATTTTTAAGAAAAGAAACCTATGTTCTTTCTAGGTTCTTTTGGCATGAATAGGATAGGGCCCAATGAGAGATGGCACAGTGGACTTTCAGGTAAGCGTGCCACGTCAGAGAAGTCACATTGTACTGTCCCCTGCTTTTTCTAGGCGGAAGGGCCAGTGCACTGTCCACAGCAACTTTAAAGAAAAACTTTGTTTTTTATTTGTTTGTCTCAAATAAAGACAAGCACATGAAGAACAACCCATACGGTGGAAATGAATAAAATTTAGAAGGTTGATCATACGTCACTGCTGTTCGCTCTTTCTTTCTTTCTTTCTTTCTTTCTTTCTTTCTTTCTTTCTTTCTTTCTTTCTTCCTTCCTTCCTTCCTTCCTTCCTTCCTTCCTTCCTTTCTTTCTTTCTTTCTTTCTTTCTTTCCTTCTTTCTTCCTTTCTCCTAAATTATTTCTATCCCTTTGCATTTTGTACTGAGAGAGATCTAGCAGGATATGTATCTTTTGTTTTCAAGCAGTCATAAAGCTAATGTTCTACCTAGAAGGAAACTTAGATTTCCGGAACAATGACCTCCGCTGTACATCAAAATTATGAAGTACCACATGGTTCAAAGTTGTCTTTCTTAAAAACTGAAATATCTAAAGAGATGTGATTTTTCTATAGGGACAAATTAAGCAGTCAGAAGTGGAAAATATTTGTTTCAATAGATCCTTAGGACTCTTCAGAATATCAATCACTTCACCTCCCAGCTACCTCCTGTCCAGATGAAACGGCCAGAATTCGCCACTTGCAGTGACACGGGGCTTGCCTCACCTTGCTGCTACCATGCTTCTTCTTGCTCACGGAGGGCGACCCTGGCTGCCCAGGGCTGGGAACAGAGCTGGATCCTGCTGACGTGGGACCTGAATGAGCATGAGACCCTTTCTCCACGACTGACGACATGACCAGTGGGGACTGCTGGAGGGAGACCTTCTGCAGCTCCGCCGCCAACTGCTTGGGATCAACCCCTGGGGACTTCGCCTTGTCCACTAGGAGAAAACAAAGGCGTTACGTCTTGGGGCTATATGTCAGATGCACTGTGATGCTTGTTGGAGTTCTAGGTGATGACTGAGCACTATTTAAAGATTAAGTTAAAATTTCAAAACCAAATGTACTCAATGAAAGTTTGATGTATCTATTTTTAGGGAAATCGAGACGGCCCAGATAGGAGCGTTACAATGACGAATTACAGGGGATCTGAAGTCCTATTAAGTCTTCAGAAAAATACTTTGAATATTTTATTGAGTGAACTCTGGGAATAACAAAATGCCTACTTTATCTTCCAAGAACTCGCTTGTATGAACACATATTTTCTCTTTTCTAAGTCTTCCATATTCTTTATAGAAGAAATTTCACAAAGTATATATTTTGAACTGGCTTGTTTATTTTAGTAACCAAGAGTTCCTAGTAGGGGGCTGGAGAGATGGCTTAGTGGTTAAGAACACTGCCTGCTCTTCCAAAGGTCCTGAGTTCAATTCCCGGCAACCACATGGTGGCTCACAACCATCTGTAATGAGGTCTGGTGCCCTCTTCTGGCCTGCAGACATACACACAGACAGAATATTGTATACATAACAAATAAAAAAAATTAAAAAAAGAGTTCCTAGTATCATTATAATAACAATAGAAAAAGGCCAAGTTGTGCTTCAAAAATAAGTAGTAACTGAAAACTATATGATTAAAAATAGCTCCGTGGATTGTCTTCACAAGATGAATTCATATTTTGAGAATTTAAAACATGAACTCATAAGTACATATTTAATATAGTTTTCTTGCTTACTCTAACAGCTAAAGATGCACGTTTCCCCAGAATGCTAATGATGTAGCTAAAACACTTTTGGCGTCGTTCATGATCATATTCTTGTATATAAGTTTATAATTTTCTCCATATCTATGTCAAAACAAACTACTTCTGTCTCGGCCTCTTCACCCATAGTTGAAATCAGACTCTGGCACCTACCAGCTTTCGGTGGCTCGTGCAGTTCCAGGTGCTGGGGATTTTCCGAATCTGACAACATATTGAGGTCCCTAAAAATGAAGACAGGTCATTAAGAAAGACATTGAGGAAGACTGCAACCGAAGGTCCCTTTCCCCACCTGTCTTGATTTCCTTTCCAGAAGGTCAATGAGAAGTGGTTCATGGTACAAAGCAGCTCCCGGGCATGCGCACCCTGCTGGCCCAGTCCATATTAGCAATGTCATTAAAAGTCAAAGCTGATAAGAATGATCATTTAAGGTGAAATCTTTATGGATTAAACGCAAGTCACTTCAAAATATTACACACGTTGGGTTCCGGCCTTCTTTCAAGAGGAATACATTTTAATAAAAGCACGGAAGGGAGAGCTGTGACACCTTTGAGGTAGTTGCTGGATTCTGGCTACATCCTAACCTTTGATTCAGAGCACAAGAAGGCCATCGACTTTGAATTCGCTTTATTTTCTCATTCTGAAACACCTGCTGAGGGGCAAAGGTTCCACCTTAACAATTTAAATCAAAAGAGACATGGCGAGCCAAAAAATGGAAACAGAAAGATGGGGAAAAACTCACAGTCTTACACATATTTCTGCTTCCCCACTTTGTTGATTAATGATGCTCTGTACTTCCTCGTATGTCTTAGAGGTTAAGGGGATCCCGTTCCATTCCAAAACCTGCATCCCTAGAAAGACAAATTTGAGTACGAAATCAAACACGTGTGTTTTCTGCAGTCTTAGCTCACAGGGCACAAAAGATTTTCTGTGCTTTTCAAAGCCAAACCAGCACACATTTCAGAGAACATGGACACAATGTTCTCCAGAGCATCATGTAGTTGGACACAAACTTACCTGAATGTATAATACATGTTTAAGACAACATGCAAAGTTTGCCTTTAAAAAAAAACCCTATTAATTCTCACCAAACACATGCATTCTCTTCACACGTCCATAAAGAAAATCATATTGAATAAACAAACAGGTAATTGCAACCATTAGCATTAGATACTGGCTTCCACATTCTTTTATGGAAAGGAGGGGTTAAAAAAATGTCACCAGTATTTCCTGCTACAACTCTGCTCTGGTACTTTGTGTCTGTTTCACTGCGTGGCAGACCGAACAGAATAGCAACAGTGTTATAGCAAGGTCAGCTTTGTGGGCCTGTGACCTGTGCGGTTAGTACAAGGCTCTGTGTTCAGAAAGGCTATGTGCTCTGCTGTCATCTTGAAAATCTACTTTTTTCATTTTTTTTTCACTGAATCTAATAAATTATGTATTCTTCCCGCCTGGTCAAGGCATTTCATTTATGCTATCTATCTGAAAAGACAATTTTACTCAAAATAATAATATATTTAATATTTAAACATTTATACCCAGAGTTTTTGGTTCATTTTGTGAGTTGTCAGAAATAACCTAGAAGTGCATGTTTGACCTCATTCACATGGCCATAAGATATAGCTATATGAGATGGATATACATGGCTGAAAATAATCCAACAGAGTACCCCAATATTTGTGAGTGCTATCAGCTTCCTTCTAGAGAAAATATCTGCATGCCATTATATAGTGAATTAAAAAAAATAATTTCTGAACAGCTTTAATTATACTTCACACTGTAATTCACTATTGCTTACTTCAGCGCTGGTTCAATGGGAAAATGCAAATATGTAGATATGGTTGTGTCTTTAATTTTTATTATATAGCATACATCGGGAGGCATGTTACCAGTTGCAATTAAGTGAAGGAAATGCCTTTATACTAGAGTCGAGTAACAGAAAAATCCATCCAAAGGCTCACAGTAACACAGAGAAAGACTTTTCTATAACTTACTCCAAGAAAACTTTATCTTCAGAGGAGTCTTAGGTTTATTTCAAAAATCCCAGCTGTTGTATACAGAAAATAAAAACATTATAAAAAGATATTGGCTCTAAGGATAACTCAGTGCAGAGAAAGCAGAAAGTAAAAACATCTTTAAAGCTAGGAGGAAAAACCTACATTTATTCTGAATTGAAAAATTAATGCCATAATAATCTAGATATTATCCCCTCATATTTCTACAGAATCATATTCTGTGAAAATAATCCCAGGTCTATTTTTTTTTCTATTGTGTTTACCTTCTCAGATTTTTACATCTTGGAACAAAGGGAAGACGGAGAAAACTCAATTATATAGTGAAATAAAGAACGTGTCTAAGCATAATGAAGGAAAACACATTTTATATCGTCAGTAACATTTCCGACCATATTCTTGCCACAGCATGCATGTGGTGCTTTTAACTCCGAGCTCGGCTCTGCCCCAGGCCAGACACCAGCATTTCTTTTCCACCCATCCTCTTTCATGCTAGTCAGTGCAGCGGCAAAAGCTAAAAATATTCTATCAGGTCTTTTGTCCTGGTTTGGTGTCCACGCTGATGTAACAAGAAAAAGGGGCACTACTTTCAGCATAGTTATACTTCCCACTTCAATGTCTCTCAGTTCCTGAAGAAGAATGGAATACAACCTCTACATATTTCACAAAGCATATTTAGAATTATGAGTTAAATATTATGTGATTTCAAACCAATGTAGTTGATTCATCACAAGAACAAATGAAGGCTAATAACTGTAGAATCATCCCAGTAGATACATAAAGGACAGTATATAAAGTATTTAAAGTATATAAAGTATTTTAAGACTTTATAAAATTAAGATTAAAGTTTATTTAGAAGAAATATGTATCATCACAGTTTAAGACATTTATAATAAGCCTCTGGTTAGTATTATAATGAGTGGGAAAGACTGAGCAATTCTCTCCATGATCTGGAATAGAACAACCTAGATGCCCTTCAATGGAAGAATGGATGAAGAAAGTACGGAATATATACATATTAGAGTACTACTCAGCAAAAAAAAACAATAACTTCTTGAATTTTCGGGGGAAAAGTAGAAAACACTATCCTGAGTGAGGTAAGCCAGACCCAAAAAGAGAAACATGGGATGTACTCACTCATATTTGGTTTCTAGCCATAAATAAAGGACATTGAGCCTATAATTCGCGATCCTAGAGAAGCTAAATAAGAAGGAGAACCCAAAGAAAAACATATAGGCATCCTCCTGAATATTAACCTTCATCAGGCGATGAAAGGAGACAGAGACAGAGACCCACATTGGAGCACCGGACTGAAATCTCAAGGTCCAAATCAGGAGCAGAAGGAGAGAGAGCACGAGCAAGGAACTCAGGACCGCGAGGGGTGCACCCACACACTGAGACAATGGGGATGTTCTATCGGGAACTCACCAAGGCCAGCTGGCCTGGGTCTGAAAAAGCCTGGGATAAAACCGGTCTCGCTGAACATAGTGGACAATGAGGACTACTGAGACCTCAAGAACAATGGCATTGGGTTTTTGATTCTACTGTACTTATTGGTTTTGTGGGAGCCTAGGCAGTTTGGATGCTCACCTTACTAGACCTGGATGGAGGTGGGTTGTCCTTGGACTTCCCACAGGGCAGGGAATCTTGATTGCTCTTTGGGCTTTTTTGGGTGGGGGACTTGATTTGGGGAGGGGGAGGGAAATGGGAGGTGGTGGCGGGGAAGAGTCAGAAATCTTTAATAAATAAACAAACAAACAAATAAATAAAAGAAAATGTTTTTAGTTTGTGCTTACTAACACCAAATTTAGCTCCACTGAATACGTCAAATATTCAAATACGTAAAACTTTGCACAGAATACACAATTATGTAGGATGCCATTTTAATTATAATAAAACAAGATAATTTAGAGATTATTACTTATATGACAATATTAAGTGACGTTGCAGGCATTTAAAAACTGAAGGTATCAGTGAACAAATAGGAACCTGACCTGTGCATCATAGCTTTAGGGTAAGTAATGAAAGGAATGAGGCTAATACAGCTCCTCATCTCTTTTTGTCCCTCTTCTAGGCAGATGCATGTGTCACCCACCCTGGAAAGATTCATCAAATTAAAGTAGGGAATCAGTTTTAGCAAAGAAATTGTGGTTGCTTGTGTGGTCCATGGAAAAAGGTACTACCTTAAAGAAAAATTGCTTCAAGATGTCCTTAAGTTCTATGGCTTCCGTTATATCCAGAATTTCTCTTGTAAACACCAGGCACAGTAAGAAAATCACCTAGCCTGGAAGAAGTGCTCTGGCTTTGACAGGCATTTTCAGAATTACGGGTTATTCTCAGTGTTCTAGAATGTACAGTTACTAATCAGACTTTTTTTTTTTTACTGAATATAGGACAAAAAAAACTATTAATGAAAGCGATTAAATTTACTACCAATAGTTAAAGAGACAATTGGAACTGATTATAATCAACTTGTTGAAACATGAATTTTTTTGTACTTCAATATGAATATTACAAACCCTTGCTTTCACAGAGAGTATAACAGAATAAAATTTGGTATGATTTGTGTCCCAGCCTTGAGATTGCTGTGATAGGATTTTTCTTTTAGTTCACAGCGACCACTAAAACAATTCACCATTATGGTCCATTATGTCCTGGAAGAACTGATATGCAGGCCAAAGCCAATTTATTACTATAATCTATTGTCTTAGAATACTGCGTATTATTAGAACAAGATAACATCAGAAAGTGACTGAACAGTCAGAAGAAGGTCATGGGTGTGTGGGCATAATCTGATGGATCCTCAGGAAATAATGTAATATGCATAAAATGAGCCACGATCTCATTTTTTAAGTAGATTTCAATTCAGATATAAATAAATTTCATAATTGAACTTCTTAGTTGATTCTGTTACTATGCCTAGGATGGATGTTTTTAATGACATTCTTATCAAATGCTCATTATTTAGCATATTAAAACTATCACATCTGAAGAATGGCATGTCTAGTTAATATAAACAGACCAAAAGAAAAAGTATTGACTTATGCAGAGATGAGCAGCTAACAGAATGGGCAAATGGTATTAGAAGAAGGGACAAAACACCCAAATGGCCACTCCTACTTTAGATGTCCAGGTGGAATCATTAAAGGCCCTAACTATTTTTGTCTTTAATCCTTTTAAATATTCATTTGAGGGCTGGAGAGATGGCTCAGTGGTTAAGAGCATTGCCTGCTCTTCCAAAGGTCATGAATTCAATTCCCGGCAACCACATGGTGGCTCACAACCATCTGTAATAAGGTCTTGGTGCCCTCTTCTGGCCTGCAGGCACACACACAGACAGGACATTGTATACATAATAAATAAATATTTAAAAAAATAAAACTATTTAAAAAATGTAAAAAAAAGGTAATAAACTAACCAGCACTCTTGCTACGGGCAGTACTTTGGCCTAGCAGAGAAAACGTTTCCATGTTGCCCATATCATTCAGTAGGTTTAACGTGCCAGCACATCAGCTATGCTGTGAGTGTGATCCATGTGAAGAAGGCGGTGGCTGAGAACCTGTGGGCAGTTTGTGCAGAGTGTCTGAAAGAGAGAAGATTCAGTGATGGACAGCCAGTGCTTCCTTCTGATGTCTGGCTGTGCCTCAAGTGTGGTTTTCAGGTAAGAAAGGTGTTATTTATATGTGTGCCTTCTATTATTTGTAAAATTCTTACTGTGAGTTGAATGTCTGATGATATAGGCCTTGAAATAGAGTCGTTTCATGTTTATATTGTCATGCCAAGATGGACTTAGAAATGTTTAAGATTAAGTAAATATATGCTATGTTTAGAAGGTAATC